ATTTCTGTGTACAGATCTTTCACCTCTTTGGTTAAATTTGTTCCTAAGTAATTTTTTATGCTATTGTAAATGGGATTGTTTTCTTGCTTTCTTTTTCAAGTAGTTTGTTGTTAGTATATAGGAACACTACTGATTTTTGTATGTTGATTTTGTATTCCGCAACTTTGCTGAACTTGTATGTTAGTTCTAATAGTTTTTGGTGGAGTCTTTAATATTTTCTATATATAAAAGCATGTTATCTATAAACAGTGACAATTTAACTTTATTCTTTCTGATTTGGATGCCTTTTATTTCTTTTTCTTGCCTAAATGGTCTCTCTGGCTAGGACTTCCAATACTGTGTTGAAGAGAAGTGGTGAGAATGGGCATCCTTGATCTTAGAGAAAAAGCTTTCAGCTTTTCACTGTTGAGTATGATATTAGCTGGGTGATGTCATATATGGCCTTTATTATGTGAGGTACATTCCTTTATACCTAATTTGTTGAGAAAAAAAATTGATTAATTTTATCTCTACAATTAAGCCATAGCATTTTACAAATTGTGGGAAAAACACATAACATTTGCCATCTTAACCATTTCTTTTTTGAGACGGAGTTTCACTCTTGTCACCCAGGCTGGAGTGCAGTGCCTCCATCTCTGCTCACTGCAACCTCCGCCTCCTGAGTTCAAGTGATTCTCCTGCCTCAGCCTCCCAAGTAGCTGGGATTATAGGCATGTGCCACCGCAGCCAGCTAACTTTTGTATTTTTTTAGTAGAGACAGGGTTTCAATACATTGACCAGGCTGGTCTTGAACTCCTGACCTCAGGTGATCCACCCACCTTGGCCTCCCAAAGTGCTGGAATTACAGGCATGAGCCACCACACCCAGCCTACCATCTTAACCATTTCTGTGTATAGTTTTGTCATGTGAAGGATTTTCATATTGTCTTGAAAACCACAACTCAAAACCCATTAAACAACTCCCCGTTGCTCTGTCCCTTAAGCTCGTGGCGCCCACCATTCCACTTTCTGTCTCTACGGGTTTGACTATGCCAGGTCCCTCACATAAGTAGAATCACACAGTATTTGTCTTTGTGTGACTGGCTTACTTCTCTTTAGCATAAGTCTTCAAGGTTCATCCACGCTGTAGCATGTGTCAGTTCTGAGGAGCTGGACTTGGTCAGAGGGGCAGTGGAGGATCTTAAGCAGGCAGGGAGTGACGAGATTAGAAAGAGCACAGTGGGGCTAGGCGCAGTCGCTCACACCTGTAATCCCAGCACTGAGAGGCTGAGGAGGGTGGATCACGAGGTCAGGAGTTTGAGACTAGCCTGGCCAACATGGTGAAACCCCATCTGTACTAAAAATTCAAAAATTAGCTGGGCATGGTGGCAGGCACTGTAATCCCAGCTACTGGGGAGGGTGAGACAGGAGAATCACTTGAACCCAGGAGGTGGAGGTTGCAGTGAGCCAAGACTGTGCCACTGTACTCCAGCCTGGGCGACAGAGTGAGACCCCATCTCAAAAAAATAATAATAAAATAAAATAAAAGAAAGGAAGACCACAGTGGAGAGCAAAAGGGAGAACCATCTGAAGGGGAGAAAATGGAAAGAAGGAGTCCAGTGAGTCCTTTTTAAGGCTGAATGATATTCCGTCCTATGTATATACCATATTTTATTTATCCATCCATCCATCCAAGGACTTGAGTTGCTTCCACCTCTTGGCTGTTGTGAATATGCCGCTATGAACATGGACATGAAGTCATGTGTTTTCTCCTCTTGCTTCTGCGTCCATTTTAGTCTCTTTCTTGTATCCCACAGCCATGGGTTCTCATGCACTCGTGTATCCCACTGCTAACGCATCCTCCTCCTTTCCTCCTGGATCATCCACTTCAAGACTTCCTTCCCCTGAGCAGCTAGCTCCAATGCCTGCTGGTGAAGGCACCAGGAGTAGGCCCCAAGAGCCAAGGAGGAGCTTCCGAAGGGATGGAGGTTATAACAATGCCTTTGTTTATTCGTCCTGTAATTTTTTGAGCATTTTCTGAGCATCAGGACCAGTGTAAGGTACTGGGAGCAGGAGCTCCCTCTCTAGTCTGGTGACAGAGGAATGAGCAAATAAGTAGAGCCACACAGTCAGAGCAGTGCACAGAACAGTAGAAGCCGAGAGAAGGAAACCGCTGACCGCCACCCAGGAGACGGTACAACTGAGAAGACAGGGAGAAGGAAGTATTTCCTAGCAGGAGAGGAGCATGTGCAAAGATAAAGGGATGACAAGAATCGCAGCCTAGCTTTCTGGGGCTGCAGTGAGACCTGGGGGCTGTGACATAGGCTGGGCTGGGAGAATAGCAGCTGTGGAGAGGCTAGGAAGGTAGAAAAGGCAAGTCACGTGGGGTCTTGTGCACAGTTCTGAGGAGTTGGACTTGGTCAGATGGGTGGTGGGGATCTTAAGCAGGTAGGGAGTGATGCGATTATAAAGAGCACAGTGGGCTGGGCTCAGTGGCTCACTCCTATAATCCCAGCACTTTGGGAGGCCAAGGCAGGCAGATCACTGGGGATTAGGAGTTCAAGACCAGCCTGGCCAACACGGTGAAACCCCGTCTCTACTAAAAATGCAAAAATTAGCTGGGCACGGTGGCAGGCACCTGTAAGCTACTTGGTAGGCTGGGGCAGGAGAATTGCTTGAACTTGGGAGGTGGAGGTTGCAGTGAGCTGAGATTGCACCACTGCACTGCAGACTGGGCGACAGAACAAGACTCCATCTCAAAAGAAAAGAAAAGAAAAGAAAGCACAGTGGAGAGCAAAGGGAGAACCATTTGAAGAGAAGAAAATGGAGGAAGGGAGTCCAGTGAGGAGACTTGCTGCAACACTGGCAGGGCTGGAGCTGAGGCTGTGGCGGGAGAGGAGGAGGAGACGATGGGAACACATAGGAGGTGAGGAGCCAGAGGAGGTGGCAAAGAGCAAAGGCGATCAGTGCACACAGCAGAGTGCCCAGAATGGCCAGTGCTGAAGGCAGCGATCTGGGCCTCGGCTCTCAGTGGTTGGTAGTGACAGGGATGGCCTCGGGGCCAGATGGAGTGTGTAGGAAGGAGAAGAGAGCCCAGACCCAGTGCCTTTTGAGGGGCTCAGTGCAAAATGAAAACACAAAGCCCCTTGTCCAAAAATATATCAGAATTTGGGCCAGGGACAGGAATGAGCTTACTCTTGGTAGGCAGGCCTGCAGAGGGCACTGGGATAGAATAATCAGAGACCACCAAGGAGATGGGCACGAGGGAGCTGAGGTCAGTGAGAAATCCCTCAACATGGGCATCTAGGCACTGGAAGTTCCAGAGATAGGGAACAATTAGGACCAGCCCTCATCTCTTGGCCAGGATAGTGATAGGTCCCTGTGATCTCAAAGGGATCAGTTTTAGGGTGTGTGTGGGACATGGGTACATTAAGGAAGGGAGAGGACAGGATGGGGGCGGAGATGCAGTGTAGGCATAGAGACCCTGAGCTCCTCTGTCACCCAGGCTGGAGTGCAGTGGTGCAGTCTTGGCTCACTGCAACCTCCACCTCCCAGGTTCAAGTGAATCTCCTGCCTCAGCCTCCTGAGTAGCTGGGATTACAGGCACATGCACCATGCCTGGCTAATTTTCGTATTTTTAGTAGAGATGGGGTTTCGCCATGTTGGCCAGGCTGGTCTCAAACTCCTGACTTCAAGTGATGCACTGCCTCGGCCTCCCAAAGTGCTGGGATTACAGGAGTGAGCCACCATGCCTGGCCAGAGACCCTTTCTAGAAGCCTGGCTGTGAAGGAAAAGCATAAGACTGGAGAGACGTCCTGGGAACTGTTAGTTCTGTTAGAACTGTTAGTCCTGTGCACACATGCACAGGACTTCGTGTGGCTGGGGTCCCTGCCACTGTGCCTTCATACTCTCCCTGAGCTGCCCGTTTTTACAGCACCAGCACTTGGACGCTCTGGGCATGAACCCCTCACGCGCATCTCCAGATCTGAGCCTTTTCTTCAAAACCTTGACCCACCTCACATGCAGGACAATTTCTTTTTTAATGAATGTATGATCTCGTCCTTCAAACTGCCTGCTTCTAACAACTTCCCCTCCACCTCTTAATAGACCACTGTTTCCGCAGCCCTGCAGCTTAAGGTCTGTAACCATCCCTGATGGGTCCCTCACCCACCCTTTCATGGAGACCGGGATCGTGGAGCTCAGAGACCAACCTGTAGGCCCCATTCTTCTCTAGCTGTGTGAGGTTACTGACCCTCCCTGTGTCCACTTTCTCAGCCACAAAATTGACGTGTGTGTGTGTGTGTGTGTGCACAAGTGTGTATGTATTACAAATAGCCTATCTCATAGGGTAGTTCCCACACCTGGCCCACTGTAGTAGCCTAATACTTTTTATTATTGGGCCAAGTGTGGGAATTAGATGATGAACAAAACAAAAATGGCCTCTCAGCAAACAAGTGCTGAGAACAGGGTTTTGCCATGTTGGCCAGGCTGGTCTCGAACTCCTGACCTCAGGTGATCTGCCCGCCTCCGCCTACCAAAGTGCTGGGATTACAGACTTGGCCAGGCTCGGTCTCCAACTCCTGAACTCAGGTGATCCGCCCGTCTCTACTAAAAATACAAAAATTAGCTGGGCGTGGTGGCGTGTCTGTAGTCCCACCTACTCAGGAGGCTGAGGCAGGAGAATCGCTTGAACCCAGGAGGTGGAGGTTGTAGTGACCGAGATCGCGCCACTGCCCTCCAGCCGGGCGACAGAACTAGCATCAGTCTCAAAATATAAAAAATAAAAAATTTCAAGATGGTGCCAGCACAGCACTAAACCCAGCTCCAGGACTTATCGGACAGGACCATGATGCTGGCTCTGCCCATCTGGGGTGCTTTAATGAGACAGAAAATAAGCAGAGAAACTGTTCATTTGACTTGACTCCAGCTGAGCATATTTATTTACCAAGAATGCCATAGGCTATGTGGTAGCCCTGTGTGGGATGCAACATGAAATTCTTCTGGGCGTTTCCTGCCTTTCAGATTGCTTGTCTTACTCAGCTTTGCAAGTCCTATCCCGAAGGTGCTATGGGAAGCAGAGATGCAAAATCGTCATCAACAATCACCATTTTGGAAGCCCCTGTTTGCCAGGCGTGAAAAAATACCTCACTGTGACCTACGCATGTGGTAAGAACACACCCCCACCCCACCAGCTGCCCAGACACGCTGTCTCTTTTTGGGGAGGGTGGTGATCACGTGAATGGCAGGAGTTTGCCCAGAACAAGCCAAACACTGCTTCTCCTGAAGCTGTTTGGTCATCCCAGGTACCTGAGAGCCCCTTTTTCTTTCTTATTCTTGTTTATCGTAGTCATGTCAGATAAGCAATAGAATTTTCTTTGGTCAAAATTTGTGTAAAAGCGCCTTTAGCAATCAGATTGGCAGCCAGTTGGGAGGGTGGAGAAAGAACAACCCAATGGGGTAAACTGATGTCGCTGAGGGCAGGGATTTTCATCTGGGTTCTTAGGAGGCTCTAAAATGTATTGAGATGTCATGCGAGTTCACGGCGGCGGTGTGTGTCTCCTGCGTATCCTTCCAGGACCGCTTTTAGCCCCTAAATGACTAACTCACTGGACTGCCAACAGCTATTTTATCTACAGACCCACGGTGTTGAATCAACAGATCAAATGCTTACCCTAAAACAATAAAAATGTTACAGGACAGCATAACTTTGTTTTCCTGCTGTCTTTAAATGATAAAATGAAATGCCTTCTTTGTTTAGATTCTAATTTCATAAAGCAAATCAGCAGTTTATTATTTTCTGAGGGTACTATGGATTTCCAGTTTGTAATACTAATATGTTGACTGGTTTTTTCTTTCTTCCTTTCTTTCTTTGAAATGAGCATAAAAGCAAATGGAAAGCAAAGAACATTATAATTGAAGAACCTGATACCTATTCTCTTGGAAATCTCTTTTTGCCCTGCCAAACATTCCTAGCCATTTTATTTCTGTAACAGCTTTTTTGAGATACAATCCACAGACCGTGCAATTCACCTGTTAAAACATACAAATCAATGGTTTTTAGTATACGCACAGAATTGCCAGCCATCATCACAATCAATTAAGAACATTCTCATCCCCCCAAAAAGAAACCTTGTATTCTTTAGCAGTCAGCGCCCCCCACCCCGAATCCGCCCACTACAGCTGCTCCAGCCCCAAGCAACCTCCCATCTACTTTCTGTCTCTATGGATTTGCCTCTTCTAGACATTTTCCAGAAATGGAATCTACAATGTGTGGTACACTGTGCCTGGCTTCTTTACTTAGCATCTGTTTTCAGGGTTCATGCATGTCGTAGCATGTCTCAGTACTTTATTCTTTTTGGTGGCCTAATACTATTCCATTGCATCCTCAGGCTTTTATATCCTGAACTAAAAATGTTATTCTCTGCAATAGCAATGCTGTCACAGGTATGATGAAGTGACTACATAAATGTATTACCAAAATAATGGCACCCACTCTTACATCACAGGAAGAATGGCTTTACCTGCTCTGTCTTTATTCCTGCTGCCATGTCTAAGCAGTCCTAGGTAGCATGAGGCATATTTTGGCTGAGGTTCCCCCAGAGGCCAAAAAGGTCACTCTGAGGACAACGTTGGATAGCTCACCTGGCAGAGCAGAGGATGGTAGACTGGATATGGGCCACTCTGAGGTCCCAGTAGTTTCAAGCCTCTTCATCTGAGTGTTGAATAAGAATCAGGACTTGGCCGGGTGCAGTGGCTCATGCCTGTCTGTAATCCCAGCACTTTGGGAGGCTGAGGCAGGCGGACCTAAGGTCGCCTAAGGTCGGGAGTTCAAGACCAACCTTACTAACATTGAGAAACCCCATCTCTACTAAAAATACAAAATTAGCTGGGCATGGTGGTGCATGCCTGTAATCCCAGCTACTCGGGAGGCTGAGGCAGGAGAATCACTTGAACCCAGGAGGTGGAAGTTGCAGCGAGCTGAGATTGCACCATTGCACTCCAGCCTGGGCAACAAGAGGGAAAAAACTCTGTCCAAAAAAAAAAAAAAAAAAAGATGCAGGACTTCAGCCTCCAAATAAGGTGCAGTTTCAGGTGGGGACCGGGAAATCTGAGACACCTCTGGGCTGGGGCCGCCGTGGCCCTGGGAACAGAGTGTGTTCCAGTGAAAGCAGACCAGTTGATGGGCACAGTGACAGCTAAATCTGGAGATATATTCAAAGTTGATGTTGGAGGGAGCGAGCCAGTTTCTTTGTCTTACTTGGCATTTGAAGGTGCAACTAAAAGAAACAGACCAAATGTACAGGTCGGAGATCTCATCTACAGCCAATTTGTGGTTGCTAATAAAGACATGGAACCAGAGATGCTCTGTATTGACAGCTGTGGGCGAGCCAGTGGGATGAATGTCATTGGACAGGATGGTCTGCTTTTTAAAGTGTCTGGGCTTCAGTAGAACACTGTTAGCTCCAGGTGGTAAAATCATACGGGAAGTGGGAAAACTCTATCCACTGAAGATAACTTTTGGAATGAATGGAAGAATATGGGTTAAGGGAAAACCCATCCTGCAGACTTTAATTTTGGCAAACATTTAAGAAGCTTGTGAACACATGACATGAGATCAAAGAAAACAAATCTTCAGATAGGCAGAAAGTTGATATAGGTGGACTTTTTAAAATGGGTCAGTTGAGCCAAGAAATCATGGGTTTCCTGGGGAAAGCTTTTTCAGGTGAACCTCTCCCCATGAACATACTCAGAAGACAAGGTATGAAGGTACAAATTATCTTATTAGAGTCTAATTGAAATATTTTTATAAGTAAGTTGCTGGTTTCACTTCTGCTCTTGTGGGAGAAAAAATCATTACAGAATCGTTATGTATTGTTTGTTCTGTACAATAACATTTACTAAAACATTTTTGTAAAAGGTGCAGTTTCTAGTGTGCTTTCAAGGATGAGGCAAGAACAGTATAGCTGAGGCTCTTCTTAGCTAATTAAATTAGTCTGTTGTCATGCTGCTGGTAAGACATAACTGAGACTGGGCAATTTACACACACAAAAAAGCAGGGGTTTAATTGGACTTACAGTTCCACATGGCTAGGAGGCCTCACAATGATGGCGGAAGGCAAGGAGGAACAAGTCCCATCTTATGTGGATGGCGGCAGGCAAAGAGTGCTTGTGCAAAGAAATTCCCAGTTTTTAAAACTGTCAGATCTCGTGAGACCCAGTCACTCTCAAGAGAACAGCACAGGAAAGACCTGCCCCCATGATTCAATCATCTCGTACCGGGTCCCTCCCACAACACATAGGAGTTATGAGATTTGGGTGGGGACCCAGAGCCAAACTATGTCACTAATGCTGAGATGAAGATGAGCTTTCGGGGCCTAGGGGTCACATGTCCCACTTCAAGCTTTTCTTCCTTCCATCATTCATTCAGCACATTGTTCTTTGTGTCAGGAGCTGTGCTGGGTGCCAGGGATTTTGTAATAAACAAAGAGACACAGACAGGATGCAGTGGCTCATGCCTGTAATCCCAACACTTTGGGAAGCCGAGGTGGGTGCATCATCTGAGGTCGGATTTCAAGAGCAGCCTGGCAAACACGGTGAAACCCCATCTCTACTAAAAATACAAAATTATCTGTGAGGTCAGGAGATCTAGACCATCCTGGCTAACACGGCAAAACCCTGTCTCTACTAAAATACAAACATTAGCCAGGTGTGGTGGCGCATGCCTGCAATCCCAGCTACCTGGGAGGCTGCAGCAGGAGAATCACTGAACACAGGAGGGGAAGATTGCAGTGAGCCACTGCGCTCCAGTCTGGTTGGCAGCAGTGAAACTCTATCTCAATTTTTTAAAAAAAGAGAGAGGCACAGTCCTGTTTTCATGGGGTGAACAGCTGAGAGAGAAAGGCAGGCATTAAACAAATAGCCAGACACATCATTATGACCTATTGTGACAAATGCTATTTTAGGAAAGGGCAGAAGACTGTAACAGTGGAGGGGGCCTAATTTAGCTTGGGGGGGTGGTTTAAGTCTTCCAAAGAGAGCCCTCCCTTAGGGTGAACACTAGGGTATGCACAGTAGCAGCACGCTTGGGGATGGGCAGGTGGCAGCCGAGACACTGAGGTGCTGAGTGGGACAGGAGAGGCGCTGATCAGGGTCCTGCACACAGTAGAGCTCCATGAAGAGTGGTTCCTAGTGTTTTCACTAACGTATCTGAAGTGGAGAAGGACAGTGACCTATCACTCCCCAGTCCCCGACCTCGTTCTGAACCAGTCTAAAACAAAGAGATGCAAAAATCTGACAAGCGTGTAGACACCTGTGATTTTAAAGGTCCTAAAAGATTCTGTGGATCTCAGAGCCATTTTCACATAGCAGATGCGCGCATTCCCTGCAGGGGCCTCTGGCAGACACGGGCAATTTCATCTTTTGACTTCCTGGTTATTCTGCAAAGTGCATCCTAGAATGCCCTTCCTTTCCGAGCTCCTCTACAAAATTCTGATTCTTTCTCAAACTGTAAAGGCTCTGGCATTTGTCAAGAGCCAAGGCCCTCCTGTAGCCTTGTTCTTGTAGTTTGAGAACATGCCAAGAGACAGACATGAGGAAGAAGTGCACTGCTGCCAGGAAATCAGGGCATCCTTCTCAGGGCCCAGAAAAGGACAGGTAATTAAAGCAGAAAGCAGTTTGCAGCAGCTCAGCTCAGCTCTTGGGCGCTGCCATGGTCCCAGGATCAGTGACATGCCATGGTCCCAGGATCAGTGTCCCTGTGGACAGCCCAGGGACATTCCTCGAAGATCCTGGAAATCATCAGCCACCTCCAGCAACTCCGTGGGCCTCCCTGGAAAGTCTCCCTTGCTGCTGATGGGCTCGAAGGCGCCAGGGCCTCCTGTACGTGGAAGACCCCCATCTAGGAATGTCCTGTGGTTGTTGAACCTGGGACATCCCCAGATGAATTTAGTGAAGCCCTCCGAGAAAGGAAACAAGGTTTTCTTGCTATTGAAGATGTCCCCTCCACCGCCGTTCTTTTTAAAAAAGCAGTGTAGTTGAATTTGCAGTTTGTTTTGGCTTTCTTTCCACTTCCTGCTGCTGCTTTTCTGAGATCTCGGCTGGGCTGAAGAACAAACAAAAATAAGCCATTTTCTGCAGCAAGAATATTTGGTTTCCTCGCCCTTCCCCCAGCCTGCCGCGGTGTGCTCGGCCTGCAGAATTCCTGCTCTGCCCTCTGTTCCTGTCATCTGCCGGCTGCCTTGGCTGCGGATTCTGACCTCCCAGGGCTTCTTCTTAGGGTCAGTTCAGCAGAGTCAAAAACCACCTTCAAAGGAATTGGTCAGGCAGCCATCCGCATCTGCATTTTTCTGTAGTTCTTTCTGACAATATTCAGCAAATCACTCTAGCACAGTCTTCAAATTCTCTTCAAATCTATGATGGTAACAGAGGTGAAGAACTTGGGGCAGAAAGCAGAAGAGTAGGAGCTGGGAGAATTTGGTGGTGGATTTTGACCTGGTCACAGTCATTTAGCTTTACTAAGTCCGGGAAAGCTCATCTTCAAAGCTAACCAACCTATTTTTTTTCTTTTCTTTTCTTTTTTTTTTACACAGAGTCTTGCTCTGTCACTCAGGTTGGAGTGCAAAGGCACAATCTCAGCTCACGGCAACTTCTGCCTCTTGGGTTCAAGTGAGCACGTCCAGCTAAGTTTTGTATTTTTAGTAGAGATGGGGTTTCACCACGTTGGCCAGGCTGGTCTCGAACTCCTGACCTCAAGTGATCCACCTGCCTCAGCCTCCCAAAGTGCTGAGATTATAGGCATGAGCCACCACACCCAGCCCAGAGTTAACCACTCCATTGAGGTGTTGTTTATTTACCTTAAAATTTCTACTACAAGTGAATACAATTCAATGATTTTTAGTAAATTCTGAGTTGTGCAACAATCGTCACTACTCTCCAGTTTAAATTAGAAAAAAAAAACACAACATTTTCACAATCCCCCAAAGCTCCCTTGTGCCCATTTGCTATCACTCCCCTATTCCCATCCCCTGCTCCTCATCTACTTTTTGTCTCTAGATTTGTCTTTTCTGAATATTTCAACAAATGGAATTATGTAATAGATGCTTGTATGTGTGTGTGGCTGGCTTCTTTAACTAAATGTGATATTTCAGAGGGTCATCCATGTTGTAGCATGTATCATATCAGTACTTCACTCCTTTTCTTTTTTTTTTGGAGATGGAGTCTCACTCTGTCGCCCAGGCTGGAGTGCAATGGCACAATCTCTGTTCACTGCAACCGCTGCCTCCAGGTTCAAGCGATTCTCCCTGCCTCAACCTCCTATCTAGCTGGGATTACAGGCGTGAGCCACCACACCCAGCTAATTTTGTATTTTTAGTATGGAAGGGGTTTCACCATGTTGGCTAGACTGGTCTTGAACTCCTGAACTCAAGTAATCTGTTCACCTTGGCCTCCCAAAGTGCTGGGATTACAGGTGTGAGCCACCATGCTGGACCTTCATTCCTTTTTATTACTGAAGTATATTCACTGGATGGATATATCGTATCTTGTTTTTATTCTCCTTTTTTTTTTTCTTTTTGAGATGGATTCTTGCTCTGTCACCAAGCTGGAGTGCAGTGGCGTGATCTTGGCTCACTGCAACCTCTGCCTCCTGGGTTCAAGCAATTCTTCTGCCTCAGCCTCCTGAGTAGCTGGGATTACAAGGTGCGCACCACCACGTCCAGCTAATTTTTGTATTTTTAGTAGTGATGGGGTTTCACCATCTTGGCCAGGATGATCTCAATTTCTTGACCTTGTGATCCGCCTGCCTCGGCCTCCAAAAGTGCTGGAATTACAGGCATGTGCCACTGCCCTGGCCTTGTTATTTTTTTAATATTGCAAAATGGGCCTAAAACCATCTCTCTGGGGCATTTGATGATCACGTGGATACCATTGGGTTGTGTGTATGTATGTGTATTTAACAGGAAGAGTGAATGATTATTGCACTGATTTGGAAAGTGATTTTAAAATCTTATCTACATTGCGTTTAAAAATATATTAAGAGTACACATTTTTAAAATATGCCAAGTATGTAAAATGTTTCTTTTTGGCTTTTAGTTCCCAAGAACATACTCACAGCGATCGATCCAGCCATTGCTAATTTAAAACCTTCTTTGAAGCAGAAAGATGGTGAATATGGTAATTTTTATGGCTTACTACCAGCATTTCTCGTAACGTAAAGGTAGACAGCCCCTGGGTGACCACGGTTGGGCACACCTTGTTAGCATGGAAGGGGCCGTCAGGAGGTGTGTTTGAGGTACCGGTCCTGGTGATGACAGTACTTTGACCAACCGTTGCAAATGGTGAACACCACTTATTTTGTTTTGATTTTTTTTTTTTAATCAGAAGTAGGGTACACCTCCTTTCGTTCTCCTCTCACTTCCTAAAAGGAAAATCACTTTGAAAAGACATCCACTCAGAAATAAATTTGGGCTTCCTGGATTACACAATGAGCTTTGTGCAAAGTTGAGGTCATTGGAACCTGCATGGGCACCAGGGCCAGCTAGGACCTGAAGGCCTCTGTACCTCTGTACACGCCACCTTCCTCCTTAGTTTTTTTTCTTCCTTTCTTTTTTTGAAATGGAGTTTTGCTCTTGTCGTCCAGGCTGGAGTGCAGTGGCACAATCTCGGCTCACTGCAACCTCCACCTCCCGGGTTCAAGCAATTCTCCTCCCTCAGCCTCCCAAGTAGCTGGGATTACAGGAGCCCACCACCACACCGGCTAATTTTTGTGTTTTTAGTAGGGACGGGGTTTCACCACATTAATCAGGCTGGCCTCGAACTCCCAACCTCAGGTGATCCACCTGCCTCAGCCTCCCAGAGTGCTAGAATTACAGGTCTGAGCCACCGCACCCAGCCCTCCCTAGTTTTCATTTGGCTTTTGTAAATGGGGTTGGAAGGGTGGGGCTTTGAGGGGGTTGGACATTTGGATTTTCTTATCAAATCTAGAATGGAATTCAAACCCATGGGGTCCCTGATATAGAATTTGCAGAGACGCAGCAGAGCATCTAAGATGTTAGGCTTTGGTGAGAGTCTTTTCTTGTGTTACTTTTATCATATGTATTAGGTCTTTCCCCACTAAGTATAAAAGTATGCTTGATATGAAAAACACATGAAAGCACCCCTAGTCCAAAAGCTCAGAGAGAACTATTGGTAATGTTCCTCTGTGTCCTTCTAGCTGGTCACCTGGGCTTTCTGGCAGGCTGTGTTCCTTAGTTCTACTTCTCTTTCTTTCTTTTTTTTTTTTAATTAACTAATAAATTTATTTCTATTATTATTATTATAAATAAAGACAAGGCTTTGCCATGTTGCCCTGGCTGGTCTCAAACTCCTGGGCCCAAGCTGCCCACCTCATCCTCCCAAGGTGCTGGGATTACAGGCATGAGCCACCGTACCCTTTCTCCACTTATTTGTCTAACAGGGTTCCCACCTGATCCGTGAAAAACCTGGTCCCCCTGCAGTGAGGGCCTGAGGGCTAGCGCTGTGCCATGTGTCCTGTCTGACATCGCTAGGCATCCCCCAGGTCCCCAGGATGTCCCAACCCAGGCTTGCTTAGCTCCATCCAGCAGTGTAACCAGGATCTAAAGCAGATCTGCCCCACATTTTGGCGTCGTTTCCCAAAAAAAGTAGCCCAGTACAACCTCCCTCCCTAATGGAGGCTTATCTCTAGTCACACAATGGACAGCGGCTTTATGCTTAAAGTGAGATATTATTGGCCGAGCACAGAGGCTTACACCTGTAATCCCAGCACTTTGGGAGGCCAAGGCAAGCGGACCACCTGAGTTCAGGAATTCGAGACCAGCCTGGCCAACATGGTGAAACCCTGTTTTGTATCTTTAGTATCTTTACTAAAGATACAAAAATTTGCTGGGTGTGGTGGCACGTGCCTGTAATCCCAGCTACTCCAGAGGCTGAGGCAGGAGAATCGCTTGAACCCAGGAGGTAGAGGTTGCAGTGAGTCGAGGCTTTGCCATTGCACTCCAGCCTGGGCAACAAGAGTGAAAACTCCGTCTCAAAAAATAAATAAATAAATAAAATATAATAAAGTGAGATGTTGTTAAGCCTCCAAGGGGCATGATGAATGTTCCTACCTTTAGGATGGGAAAATCCATTTGTTCCCTTTCGCAGTGGAGCAGAAGAGGGGCACCTAAAGTTGGAACCAATTCTTTAAAAAAATTTCTAATCTTTTTTGTGCTTTAATATTTTCAGGGACTGCTTACTATTTAATAAGTGCTCTTCTGGGTTAATCTTCCATAATTTAGCCAGAGGCCCATTCGTTTGATTTCTGTGACTTTTAATTATTCCAGCAGTGCCTGGGGTAGGAGCAGCAGGGGCCTCTTAGGATAGGCGAACTATGAAAAACCGTGATTAATTGGTCTTGCATTTTTCATGAAACAGATATAAACTTCGACCCAAGCGGATCGAGGGTTCTGAGGAAAGATGGAATTCTTGTTAGCAACTCTCTGGCAGCCTTTGCTTACATTAGAGGTAGGTCAATGAATCGAAGCTTCTTAGAGTGCTAATGGATTTACTAAAGTCTTGTTAATAAATGTGCTGTTCACTTATAACACTCAGACAACTAAAGAATGATGACTTCAAGTTTGACATGCCAACCACCGCCTTCTAAGATTCAGAAACAGGGGCCTGAGTTTAGGCACAGTCACAACCAGGCGGCCAGTAAGAGAACCACACACACAGACAAAGCCACACTGTTTAGTAGACAGACATTTTTCCCTTTTGAAAAGTAGAAACCTGAGGAATGCATTTCCCGGTCTAAAATTTGGGAAGGAACTAGGATTATTGAATTCCAACCCTGGCTGGGAGAAAAATGAGCCAGAAGGTCACTTAGGAAACAAGACGGATCATACCCCATGAAGACAGAGCCACTTTCTGAGTCATGAGTGTTATTCCTGATGGTTACCAAGGATTCCCTTGTTAATCTTGCCCATGAGGATCAATCAGACTCAGCCCTCATGAATTAGCAGAGCCAAAAGGCTTATACCAAAGCCAGTCACACTGCGGGGCCCTCTTCATTGAGGTGAAGGTGTGTTCAATCTTTCCTCACCACCCTCTCTGCTTAGCTTAAGATAGAATGCATTTTGGAATGTCATCTGCAAGTTTCAGCAATGGCTGCCTATGTTCAGAGAGACAAAAACCAGAGACCTTCAGTAAAATACATATTAATATAACACATAACAGATTACTATTCAAGGCCTTCTAGAGATGGGACTCTCATTTGGGGTAAGCCTGTCTCAGAGGAAAATAGAGGCTTAGGAAATGTATTTGTCTGTTCTCCTACTACTAATAAAGACATACCCAAGGCTGGGTAATTTCTAAAGGAAAGAGGTTTAATGGACTCACAGTTCCACACGGCTAGAGAGTCCTCACAATCTTGGTGGAAGGTGAATGAGAAACAAAGTCACATCTTACATGGTGGCAGGCAAGAGAGCGTGTGCAGGGAAACTCTCATGAGACTTATTCACTATCACGAGAACAGCATGGGAAAGACCTGCCCCCATGATTGAGTTACCTCCTTCCAGGTCCCTCCCATGCCACAGGATTATGGAAGCTGCAATTCAAGGTGAGATTTGGGTGGGGACACAGACAAACCATATCAGGGAAGGATCTCAATACAAGAGATGCAGAGTTTAGCCTTGGGGTCCCCTGCTGTTCTATTGTCCTCCCACATCAGGATTCCTCCTGTGTGTGTGTTGTGTGGTTGTTGGTTTATTCTGTGGGTCCTCTCTTTTCTAACCACCTTCTCATTTCCATGTCTTGCTTCTCCTGATCATGGTCAATGTTAAGAACTGTAAGAATTTTTATTGTCAGAAATAGCCCCATATTTACAAAGTCCCTGGAGAGCTTCTTGGAGAAAAGCCATCATGAAAATCCTCCAGAAAATAGCGATCAAAGGGGAATGAGACTGACATTATACTCAGTGAGCTGTGGCCATGCTGTGTGCTTTACCCCAACTGCCTTGTCAGTTCCCCTCAACAACCGCCTTAGCCACCCCAGCTGCCATAACAAAGTACCCGAGATTGGATGGCTTATAGAGCAGACATTGATTTTCTCACTGTTCTGGAGGCCAGAAGTCCATGATCAAAGTATCCACCCATCACTTTCTGGTGAGGGCTCTCTTCCTAGCTTGCAGACAGCAGCCTTCTTGCTCTGTCCTCACATGGCAGAGAGGGACAGGCAGAGAGGGACAGACAGAGAGACAGAGACAGAGACATCTCTTCTTTTTATAAAACCACCAATCCTATCAGATTAGGACTCTACCCTTAGGACCTTCTATAACCTTAACTCCTAATGAATGAATTGGGGGGAACACCATTCAGTCCATAGCAAAAACCCTGAGAGAGGGAACTCTGGTCCCCTGTTCTGCACTTGGAGCTGATGGCCAGAGGAGTTGAGCCATTTACCTGAGGACACCATGGACAGTGGCAGGACCAGGATTCAGGCTCAGTTAATACAAGGCTTGAATTCCAGCTACTCTGAATTTTGAGGGCTGAAACCACCACCACCCCCCCACACACACTGATCCTGAGTTGTCTAAATTAGCTTCCCTCCATCCCTTTCTATCCTTTTATGTGATTGTCATTTCCAGAAACCACAGGATAGAGTTAATTGTTTAGGGCCGGTATCTCCTGCTAGAGTCTCAGCTCCATAGAGGCAGGTGTTTGTCATCTTAGTTTGTGTCATGTCCCTGTATCTAGCATGCAGTGCTAGTACAGAACAGGTGCACGGTCAGTAGTTAAGGAACAATTGAATGATGACTACTGATCTGGGCTTATGAGCTTTTTCCTGTGCCTTATTGTCATCTAGCATTTGTTATTTATAAGATGTCAAATTTTTTTAAATGTAAGGATTTTATGAACTGTTATTTGGTTTTATTGAGGGGTGTTTTGGGATATTTATCTCAGCAAGCCATGACCACGCCGCCATATGATGTCCAAGAGAAGGAGTCTCCAAATGCACTATGTTGGATGTTAGCTAAATGAAATCACCACAAGAAGCTCGTGACTCAGATCACAGAGGCTTACAAGGTCCCAGATGGAATGGCGCCTCTGGACTTGCCTGCGGGTTTTCTTGGCATGTCTGTGTTGCTGTCTGGGCGGCCACCCTGGATGTGGGTAGCACACATCACATGCTCAGGGGTCCGTGCAGGCCAGTGTGCCACAGAGATGCATGTAGACATCAGGTTGGGCCATTTCGACCTAAACAGGCAGTGGCAACCTGCCAGTGTCACACACTGCTGAGCTCCATCCTTGCTGCTGCTGGAGAGAGGTACCCAGACAACATTCAGTCACATCCCCGGCCCCACCATGCACATGTGACCCACGGGCTGAGCTGGGGTCTCTAGACAGCCCCGAAGCAGGAGCAGCTGGGAGCCAAGAGTGTGAGCAGGGCAGTTTCCAGCCCAAACCATCCAAATAGGTGGCAGATGGAGTGACTCCAAAAGCACATCTCCCAGGTCAGGCTGCAAGTAGCTTTGACACAGTAGTGCAGTCCAGTGTACATGGGGACAACAAGAGAAACAGAAATCAAGACACTTGTCCCCTGATATTGAAGCACAGAGGTTGGCAGGAGGGACAGGAGGATGTCCAAGGGTCCCTGGTGAACAGTGTCTTGTGGAGCCATTTGAATGATCTGTGAGATGGTTTTCCCAACATTGAAAAAGCTTCTTAGGCTTGTTTGAATTCACTGTTGTGCCAATAACGAAAACTTACTCCCTGAATTCATTCTAGAATCAAGATCATGAGTCTGAGGAAGCTCATGGAAAAAACTGGAAATTAGAGAAATGGAAAAGGAGAAGTGGTGTGCGTGTGCATGTGTGCATGTGTGTGTGCATATGTGTGCGTGCATGTGTGAATGTGTGCATGTGTGTGTGCATGTGTATGCATGTGTATGTGCGTGCATGTGTGAATGTGTGTGCATGTGTGCAGGTGCATGTGTGCCTATGTGTGTGTGCATGTGTGGCATGCCTGTATGTGTGTGCATGCACATGTGTGTGTGCATCTGTGTGTGTGCATGTGTCTGTGCACGTATGTCTGCATCTGTATGTGTGTGTGCATGTGTGCGTGTACATGTGTATCTGTGTGCATATGTATGTATCTGTATATATGTGTGTGCACATGTGTGGTCGGTGCATTTGTGTGTGTGCATGTGTGTGTGTGTGTGTGTGTCTGTGTGTGTTGGCAGTTCTTAACAAAACAGTTTACTAGCTGGCTCAGCGTGAGCCATTGTCCCCTGGCAGATTGTATGCAAGGAGACTTATTTATTTAGACAGTCTTGCATGAGAATATGACCTCTCCCATTTCACCTAATTACTGTTTCATTGACATCTGTCTTTGGATGTTTACCTCATATGTGCCTGCAGGCATGCCTTTTGTGGCCTAATATTTCTATTGCTGTCCCTACCCCCTTGGGACAGTGAGGGATGTGTCATCAGCCTCTGGCAGGCCCTGCTGTGGACTTTGGGGTGCGGAGGTAAGGAAGCCGGGCAGAAGGGACAGGCTTGCAGGGTGGGATGTCCTGCGTTGGGAGGCATCATGGCTCCATAAGGGAGGAACTCTAGGGCGTCAGACAAGCTCATATTGAAGCACAACAACACACTCCAGAGTCAGAGCTTCGTGATTCCCCCACCTGGGAAGACCATTAGAAATCAGCATCACCTTGTCACGGAGATGTGGATTCGGATGTGCTCTCATGGTCTCCAATCTCTGGTTCCAGAACAAGGTTTCTGTCACACCCCTAAGTGCTGTCAGACCAGCACTCGGTATGCCTTGTGATTTCTTCTGGACAAGCCTCAGGCCCTGACTGCTGCCTCGATCCTCTCAACAGCAACAGGGCCCCAGCAGGGGGAACCCTTGCTGTGGCCTCTTATCTGGACATGAACGAGTTTGAGCTGGAGCACGTGTTGGCCCCAAGTCAGGATCTAAGGGTGGAAAGGGGCCTTAGAGGCCATAGGCTCCCCTTTGGAGGTTCCCAAGGGCATACAGCAGCTGCTAAAATTAAAGTCATTCACTCCAGCCTGGGATGAACCAAGGCTAGATTTAGAACAACACCAGCAATAAAACAGTGTGAAGATTCTGTTCAAACACAAGGAGAACGTTTTTGTTTTTCCAGAATACAGAATAGGAAAAGGAGACACGGAAGCGTAAAGTAGTCCAGGCGATTCTAGAGAACAGTCGGCATGGCCTTAGTGTAGAGCCTGTGGGGTCCCAGCCAAGTGGTGGCTTTGCACAAGTGACTTGGCTGTACAACAAGAGGGGTTGGTTGAACAAGCTTATCACTAAGGTTCCAGCTGACCAACATATGGTGAGTTTGTAACTTCAAACTAGTTGATTCAGATGACTAGGGAGTCTTGTTCCATGGGCTTGCCAAGCACTGCCCATGTCCATCTCTGGTTGCTGGATCTCAGCAGAGTTGATGCGGATGCGCCCTAAAGCGCGCTCACTCAGCAGGAGGCATGCCTGGGCCACGAG